ATATCATGCGGTACAGCGGTAATACGATGGCAGCAACATTTTTTATTAAGTAGGTAATAAACAAATATACAACATTCTTGTTTTGTAATTTAATAATATAATGTATTATTAAATTACAGTTTTACAGTAATAAACAAGTAAAACATGTAAAAAATTACATGTAAAATATTTCTTGAAATGGGCGACTTTTTGTCGTTTGAACTTCCATTAATTATCTATTTTACGACGGTTGTTATAAGGTTCAATATTCAGTGGGCTGTATGATAGTAAAAAGAATGTGACGAATGCTATGGAACGATTTTAACTTTCATGACCTTTAGAATCAGGGAAACTTTAAATTAATTGAAGATGGGCGTAAATATAATATGTCAATCAAGTTCGAAAGCAGTTAAATAAATTTGTTAATGAAAAATTAAAGTGAAGTGAATAAACATGTTGAATAGAAAGAAATTATGACAATTTCTAACCACAAAACAATAACATCACTTCACCGTATGTTCTAGACAGCATTTTAATATTCTTAAAAAAATTAAACATTATTTTATGTTAATTTTAATAAAGGCAGAGTTTGACAGGCTCAATAATTGATTCCGAAATCAATACAATCACTGATCCTACAAGGCAGAAGGTTGCAATTCGTATACCTTTCTCCATCTTTTCTTCACAATATTTTACGCCCATCCTTATCCGACTTGAAAGTCTTTTCGTCGCTCAATATGATTACACTGTTCGCCCAATCAAAATTAATAAAGTCCTTAGCAAATTCTTAGCGCTTTTGCTGGTGAACCACACATAACAATATTTTCTTCTCTGGCTTCCTGCACCTTAAACCAGAATGCAGGTGTCTCCGTACAGTTTGTATTAAAACATTCAGTGCTGTCGCTGTAGTGCGGGTTGGCAGGAACGGATCAGCCATGTGCCTGGCTACGATGTCGTAGGGCCGAGCCGATGAATTTGCCTTTGGTTTAGGCCCACGTCGACGATGTTTAACGTCACCGGTCTCCGCATATCTGTGCACCCATAACTGCATGGATCTCCTCTGTTGATACCAAACAAATAAGTATTTAAAATACCAGGAAATACTTTACAGGAATTAAAGTTACTTAAAAATAATAATAAATATAAGTAAACACAATGTTAGAATAATAATTTATAATTAAGTAGTGGCGTAAGGAATAAAAATCCCTAACCAGATATGTTTTAAAGAAACACTCCTAACAAAAACAAGTCAAGTTACAATACAATTAATAATAAATTATTAATATATCTTTATAATATTGAACTTCATAATAAGTTGCAATAATTATTTTATTCTAGTGCAAAAATTGATAGGTGTGTCGAGTTACAAAATGAAATAAATATTATTTAGAATATCAACGTAGTATCTTATTTACTCACCGATATCATTAAACGCCTTGCTATTTCAGTTATTGTTAGTTATGTTTTGCTCATGCAAAACAATGGTTTCAGCCTTTTTAAATGTTGATAGGTGTTGGAACATCTTGTAAAAATAAAAATAACTTTGCACACGAATATAAGTAGTGTAGCAATAAACTATGAAATCCTCATAAATTGACAACTAAGAACGCAATTATTTTGTAAGTCGGGTGATTTGAAAAACATGTTTTAAATAGTCGGTAGTTACTTCATAAGCGTGTAAAATAAAATGACTCGAGATTTCTATGGTCGCCACAAACATTGCAAATATACTCAGGTATCGAACCATTAAGAAATCACAGTTAATTACTTTTTTACTGTTTTTATCTTATTTAAGTTGGTTGAAATGCATGAAGCAAATGAGATTATTCTAAATAATAAATAACTAGAACTAAAATATAAATAAAAGATATTATAGGTATAAATAAATCTAAAGTATTTACTATTAAAATTAACATAAGATTTAGAACAATAGGAAAAAAAAAAAAGAAAATTAATTGTTTCTAATTTCAAATTTCAAATTTCAAATTTCAAATATTTGATAAATTAATTCTAAAACAACATGTGAATGTTGGAATCGATCCGGCGGCACTTTACATGACAATTGGAGGCGATAACCATTGCGCCAAGCGCGCTGTAGATGAGATCATCGAAATATTTTATATCATTCAGTAACATAAAATTACAATGAGAAAGCACTATATTTATATGGGTATTGTATAGCTCGATCGTTCATTATTTTTGATTTCGATTTATTCAAAGTTTGTTATGAGTAATTTTATCTTTACCCTCGTTTTTATTTAAACTTATTTACTAAATTATTGCGTATACCGACACAAAAATGATTTTTAAATACCAAGATGTGTGTGATAGACGAATGTTTCTATACATATCTATTGATATGAAATTACCCACACATGTATATTGTGTAAATGATAGTTGTGTCGATGTGTAGCGCCGCTAACTAATTAGCGGTGCTTTGTGTACATCACATGTGACATATCAGTCCGTAAAGTATGTATACCACACCTTATAGTTAGGCGAGTAAAATATTTAATTTATCTCTTCACATTAGAATCTTTATTCTGTTATCACTACAAGCTCTCAAAATATGCATTATCAAAAGGGTAAACTCTTGGTATCATAAAATTTATAATCTTAGCTTAACCTTAACCCAAGTTTAAACAAAGTTTCGAAGTTAAGTTAATACCTTACTTGGAAGTTTGACAAGTGAGATAAAAACAGGGGTGGCTTTTACATCACGTGCTTAAGTTACATTGAGGTTATAAACTCGTATTATTAAGTTTGGGACACACAGATAGGATTGATTATAAAGTCAAGAAGTTTTACAGTAAAATATCTTGATAATAAAACTTGAAGTAAATAAAAAGTTGTGCGGCTATATTTATGTGACCTAGTTTTGTTTAATACCAATTCTTGAGTGGTAGTATGAAGAGATCACGAGGGCAGGCATGTTAAGATATTGCTACATAAATCACGCCGGCCGCCAGCCAGTATGCAACTACCCTTAAGCGACATGATTAATCACAGCGATTTATTATCGCTTCAAATAGTTATATATCGTATTCCACGAGTGGAATGGCGATTTTTTCTTATTTGATTTTTTTGCAGAAATATATGTATTTATGGTAATTGGGAATGGTTATCCCCGATACTTAGTAATTGTTTAAGACTGAAAACGTTATAACTCATTTTACAATTCAGCCTATTGTATTTTTACGGTGATCACGGTTTCTAGCTCAAATAGTTGCAGTTCAATCTTAAAACGAGAACTATTTTCTGTTATATCTGGTATATTACTTCAATGCATGTTTGTATACAAAATATTCAGATCAGCATGAATATCTAAGACCATTGCTTGATATTGCATTGTGACCATCTCGTACCACACGCAATTTGCTCTGCGGTTGTTTGCTCCTGAAGTCCTAAGTGCTATGAGTAGACGCATTTTGAATACAATGTTCTCTGAAGTTACCATACATGATACTTGTACAACCAGATTGTGTAATGTAAGTGAGAATGGAAATTCACTCGTTTATTCAATTTTGTATGTCACTATTTACCATTTGACCGCCGCGCGCCGCGTTGGTCCCGGCATGTTGCCTTGCGGGCACCGGATAATTGGATCATTCAGTCTAGATATCTTATCCGGTATCGAAAAAATGTGACATAAAATCGTAAAATACTGCTAGCCAAATTCATGGGTGATAAAAGTACCTAAAATAAAGTAAAAGTTAGAATGTCAACCTTATACAAAAAGTCCCTTTAAAGATTTTTCTTTTTTCAAACTATAGCCGGTAATGATTTCCGGTCCCTTCGCTAGTATTTCTCAAACATTTATACTGTTAAATGTATAGAATTACGACAAAGTTTGGTCATAAATACAACATAGTTGAACTGTTTTAATTTAGCTGAAAACAATTTTAAGACGTTGGACGCCATTCCAGTTTCTTGTTACTGTTAAAAGTTCACAGTCAGAAATAATAAAATATAAAGAAAAAAATCCAATCCAAGACGCGCCAAATTCACTCGACGCCAGCCTCACTACGAAATAAAAATTTTAATTATATGAAGTTACATGAATAAGTAATATAGTTCTATTATATATATTCTCATAATTGCATGTTTATTTCATGCAAATATGGACACGAGTTAAAATAAATTTAACTTCAAATTATATAAAGTTTGCCTCGTGCTATTCCACGACGCCTGGCGGGAACTCGTTGACGATTTCACTGCAAACGAGTAGAAAATATGCCAATACAAACATGTGACGAGTAAATTCCCTTGTCGTTCCACCAAGTTCCTCGTTTTCGAATAAAAATAAACTGAATTTTCACCTAGTAGTCAGGCAAGTAAATAATGTTGTTTTTCTTTGCTGTTCCCTAATTCGTTTTAGCTCAAACAGATTACTGGCCAGATACGGTCGAGATTAAGTATTTTCCTTTATCTCCTCTCTGTATCTTATGATGGGCCACACAATATTCTCAGGTTCAGTTTATCAGGCCTTCAATCTCTTTAACATCAATTACATCTGTCATGGATATTCTAATATTTAATATTATTTAACATCCAAGTACAATTGTGACATCCTTCAAACATTTAGAGAAATGAGTAAAATGAATGTAAATATTAAATTCCTCACTTTATTAAAAATTAATTCAGATGACTGTTCATCTGTTTCTCGTCAGACGAAATATTGTTTTATTCAAAGAACTGGGAGTTTCCACGAATTTAAATAAGCAAATTGACATTTACTCCGGGTAATATCAATTTTAATCTGGAGTGTATCAGTTAACGTATCTCGCTGCGTAAATTGTTTGTCAATCGTGACGTCGTCATCTACCGAGGGATAATTAACGGAGTTAACAAGACACGACTTGGCAGCCATTGTTATTATATTCTATTACGCATTTTCAAATATAAGGACATTTATAATTGATCTTATTCAATTTACCAGCAACCACTTGGCATCAGGTGTCTAACCCATAACTAAAACGTTTCTTACAATAACAAATTAATTTCTAACATTAAGCGTCCTTTTAAAAGAACTTAGACTTGACAAGATCAGATCCTGAGTCTTCGTACTCTTCCTTGGTCAGCCAGAATCCTTGCAAGTTTGGGAAGGAGGCTAGCATAGACCCCCCCACCCAGGCCGCGAACTGTCTCACGGGTATCGCTTCTACATGCGGTCTGACGTCACGCGAGGCCTTTTTCAGGGAGTTCGTCAGCTCCTTCTTGAGCCGCTCGACGAAACCTGGTGTCATGGTAGCACCGCCAGAGCACACGATGTTGCTGTAGAACATGGGCCTGTCGAAATGTGTTTAATCAAACGTATCAATATTAGTAACTGTGTTAATAAATAATACTTCATGAAATTGTTTACAGGACAAAATTATAAGTTGCCTTTGTGAATAGTTGAAATATTTTAAACATTGTTATGCTATTAATTAAATCCATACCTAAAATCAAGATCACATAAATCGATACCATGGCAAATGGTCTCGATTATATTTTTACACTTCAGTTCTTCAAGCTCAGGTTTAAAAAAGATCTCTGGACAGAGAAACCGCTCCTCTCCCAATAGTAAATCCTGGCCATCCGGCAGCTTGTACTTAATCTTGCTATCATAACCTGACGCTTCTGCCAGCTCCTTATCATAGTTTTGAGATAAGTAACACGTGTCTTTCTAAAAAAACAAATGTTAATTTTGAAACTTGAATAAAATACATGTTTTTCTTCTGATATTGATTTACCAACCTTAATTTTTTCTATCAGATCTAGCTCATATGGAGTTGTGAGTGAATATCCAGCTTTGAACATGAGATTCTGCAGTCTTTTGGTCAGCATATTGCCAGTTACCGGTGAGGTGATTGTAGCGTGCTTTAACGGGAACCCTTCAAACACCGGTGCAACGTAGGAGCAGAAGTGGCCACACTCCAAAACAACGCCAGACGTCCTGCCATAAGCATTCAGCGCCAAAGCCGTTGATTGTGCAATGTAGAGTGAATCAATGGCAAACATTTCAAACAATATTTCAGCCATTTTTTGACTAGACAATAAAAGAAATAAATATTATAAAATGCGCTATGCTACAAATAGGTCTAATTTTTTCTGAAAGTCTCATCCATTCATACATACTTATCATTCTTTGAAGTAAGTGGATGCACAGAGTGCATGATCTTCGTACACTCTGGCGGTACGTGCAGTTCCTTGTAGAAGACGTGATGCCACAGCTTCTCCATCTCATCCCAGTCCTCGATTCGACCTTCCTTCACTGGGTACACCAACTTGGATATACCTCGGTTTTTAATAGCCTGGGTACCACAATACACAATCGGTATACCATCCATGAGTCCGTCGCGACGAAACCTGTGAAATAAAGCAATAAATTAGAAAATACGAAACAAAGGCTCGCAAATAAAGACTAAAAAGAATATTTTAACACAATCATTTTTGTTTGTTTTCCCGAGTAATTGTATTTATTTGAACCTTGGTTTTGATGTATTCCGTTAGCTCGTTGGTAAATAGGTTTCTAAGGAATGGTTTCTTCGATCCCGTCCAATCTACCTTTTTTAATTCAAATTAACAGCAAACGTGATGTTTTAGAGAGCACCTCACTTTGTTTCAGAAATATCAAAACAGAACGTTTAGTTAAAACATAAAATATAGGAGTCAAGAGCTCATTTAAATCGCTGTTATTCCGCTTCGTAGATCAATGTACGGCAGTTGCCCACTTGTAACTTAACGAAATATAAATATTATACTGCGGTCTACTCTGTACATTGCAAATAGAAAAGCCCTGCTTCAATGTAAGCAAGAATTTTCTATTTCGCATTAAGTCCTACCTAAATCGTAAAGTAAAACTTAGTACAAATACCATAAAGTTTAAATACATTGTCATTGCAAATAACATTAATATGTATTTCGGTTAATAGTGACGTGTCCTACTAACCGACTTTATTATCAACGTTAACATGTAAAGTATAATCGGTTTACAAAGTATCTCTTCATAGCGGTTTCAGAGAATGATAGCAAACAAAATAATACATTGTATCCAACTCATGTACTCAAATACAATAGCGCTTTCATACTCCCTCACATGGAGGACCACATTAGAAGTTGTGGCCACATATTTACTATTCCAGCTAAAGTATAAACTGTTGAAATCTGTTCGGCTGGACTGTGTCCTCACTCGCGACAACCCACTGTGCGGCGTGTGTGCTCCGTACTCAGACAGACAGACAGTGGCACTCAAACGTACACTGCAGATCAGCTTAGTGCACAATGAGTTACAAACGAGGCATGTATTGTCCAGTATAAGTACTTACCGCAAAACTTCTGCTCGCTGAGGGAGTGATGCGGTCGGAACACCTCGGAAACATTCCGACGGTAATTTGCATAACGTCATTACGCTTATTATTTCCCGGGAGGATTGGTAGATTTGTGTATTTCTATATCCACTTATGTAGTTGTTATTTTGCAACAAACGCTGACGTTTGTTCAGAGTTGAACGCGTCAACTAAAAACAATAATGAAATAAAAATATTTCGACAACACGAAAACATTCCAGAATTCCAGCACGGAATCAATTTAGCCTCAATCACTATCAATCAAATTTCAACGTGAGCAACAAAAATACATAGTTTGCACTGTATCGAAAAATTCACAACAAAATAGTTTACGTGCGGGATATGAAAGACCAACAGTGTGCCAGCTGCCGACATTCTCAGGCTATAAAAAATAGTGCAAACAAGTTATTGTGGCGCTCAGCTATGGACAACACGCTTGTCCTCACATACGACGCTTTTGTTATCCTTTTCATTGAAGTTGCATTTGAATTCGTACTAAATCGTCGCCAGTTACATACGACAAAATTATTCTTGTATTTTTTGTTCCGGTACTTCGAAATCGTAGTTTAGATTGTCTTATATTTGCAAGAACTATATTAATTTGGTTCGGATTTTAAATTGCCTCTATTTGCGTTCATTTTGCATGGGTTCTTGTATAACTGTCGGGAGCGAGTGTGCTCGAGCGGCAATCGTGCGAGCGTTCCTCGAGCGTCAACTTGCAGTGGAACTTACACACAAAGAAAAGTTAATACAATGCATGCTGTACTTTTCTTTCTTATAACTCAACCACTACCGCTTCGGTACTTGTAAGTGTTCACTTGAAGTTAGCATTCTCTTCTAGCGCTCTTTTAGCATTGTTTTGAGTACATTAGAACGTCGCCACCAGCGTTTTATAACAGTCTGTATATACATTTAGATTTATTAAATAGCTGTCAGATGTGGGTCCGGGGATTGTAGTTTGGGTACAAACAAAAGGACGCGATGAGATCCCACTGTGTACTGCTATGGGACGGTGGCATAATCATCTAGATTGTTTCCCTTGTTTACGAGTGGCTGACAGGTGGACAGTGGTTGTGGCCGGGATAAGTAGTAGAACAAACAAAAGGAATAACTTACAAATATACGGGCTGTTTTCTGAAAATTATGAACGAAGTTTTTTAATTGTACAGCATCATTACTTACCACTTTGCATGACTAAATACGTCTAGTATTTGAAAAGTGAAATCAAACCCGTTGCGCTCTAATTAAAAGTCCGTCTAATTACGACGGTAGCAGAAGTTAAAAAAACAAGTAATAAACCATTGTGGGAAGTTTCGAAACAAGAAGTAAAATACAAAAATGAGTGTAGCGGCTAGGTAGCCGGACTTAGAGGCGAGCCATTGTCGTCCATCTGTATAAAACTAGTTCGGAGTTGAATGCAACTTGACCGGCGGCGGTCGGAGTGCTCCAATATTTCTGACTTTCTATTCTGCGGTATAACGTAAGGACTGTGATATTAACCGAGCCATGTGCAAGTTTTTAATGTATCATACTTGATGTTTGTTCTCTCTGGAACTTTCTAGAGCTACAATATGAAGCTATAGTAAAGTTGTAAATACATTTTGTCTTGAGTTACGAAATATTTACAGTACGTGTTTTGACGTTCAATAAGGTCCATAATAAGATTAAGACGAACAGTTCCGTTGAGTTAGAAAGTAGTCGACTAACGCTGAGTATGAATATTAAAATGAAAGTTAGGAGTAACTTGACGTTGTTGTCATTCTGTAAACATCATTGGAAATACTGAGACTTAAAGCTAAAGCTACGGAAGTCATTGTTTTGAAGAAGTTATCAGACCGATAGTTGCGTTTAGTCTCAATGTTGCTGTATCTTAAACACACATTACATAACATCACGCCTTGTTTCCCCGAAGGGGTAGGCAGAGGTGCACATTATGCCACTATACAATGTAACACCCACTTTTCATTATTTATGTTATGAGTCCCATGTAATAGGTGTGAAAGTGAATTTTAGAGTCTGTGCTACTACTAAGATTTTTTTATAAACCCAGTAATACTTTGCCCGACCGAATCGAACCCGACTCTCCTTGCCCGGCCAGTCGCACTTGCGACCACTCGGCCAACGAGGCAGTATATTTTAAACAGTAGTCTTCAATTTTAAAACATCTTAAAACGTTATTATCTTTGAAAAGGTAGGTAAAGAAGGTACTCATGTTATACTAAATTAAACAATCAAGATTTTATGTATAAGGCAGCCTACTTGAGGCTACTTTCATTCTTATTAGATTCCGAAAATTCTTAGCTATTGTAAAGATCTTAGAAGACAATTTAGGTACCTTTTGAGAACATTTATCTTTTTTATGCCTTCGGAATAAATGGTGCTATATGTATTTTAGCCTAGCTACCTTCTCTAATAAATAGAATTACTATGATACCATTTTAGTTAATATGATACATCAACTTATTCCAACCAGTGTTAGTAAAAAAATGTTATAAATTCATACTTCATGGTTCGGTATAAACGAACAAACGATCACTACTGTATATACCCACAACAGAAGAAGAGTCACATCCTTTCCAGAAGGAATATCTTCTTGTATTAAGTTACTTGACTAATTGGAGTTTACGTAAATACTGAGAAAAGATCTACTAGTTGCAAATCGTTTCAAGCTCGGAAGCGGACGCAACGACGTAACTGTCCATGAAGAAGAGTCCCTATATGACTTGAAATTAGTAGAGCGTTACAATTTCTTAGTATTTACATGAGCAAACCAGCATTTTTAATAATTAATTTAGTATGTCTCACAATAGTTCTCATAGTAATTGGTGTAAGTTCATGTGATTTTTTTACAAATACATTATGTTCCTGCTGTTCTTACCTGCCTACAATATTGGGCACCATGGTCCTTGGAGAAGGTTCCCCTGCGAACCCTGCCTTCAAAGACTGTGAACCAGCATCAAGAACCACTCCTAGAAAGTCACTGGACATGTTTTTCCCAATTCTATATATTTTTCTCTTTAAAATTTATTTGATGTCGTGACCTTCGAGATTTTGTTTATACCTCTAATGTCTATATTTTAGACGTTATGCAGTTTACGTATAGGTCAGGATGAAAATTATTTATTTTCTATGTCTGATACCTGTCAGGCCTTATTAGGTAATTCAAAATCGGCCTGTCATTCTTATACATATTTAAAAAAAAATTAAATCATGATTTAGTTTAGTTACTGTAACTGCAACTTTAAGGTGAATGACGTCATGAAAAGTAAAATATCCTGACATTTGTAGGCTTGTTGCTTCAAATAAATACTCGACCTGTTAAATTAAGAGGTATAACTTATTTTCCAGTATGATGGCAGCAGGCTCGTGGCCTGGATACTCGACACCTAATCCAATATTGTACATCTGAAAGCTATTTTGGTTCAGCGCTGAGACCCGATCGTTTGCCATTTTAACTAGATTAAATTGAAACATCTTGTTCCACGTTTAATCCCGACTTATACAACTTAGCGATGAAAATCAGATAAACGATTTTACAATACCATGTATTGATTTCTTCAATTAACACTTTATTAAAGTTGTTTTCTGTTTTCCAACAGTTTTGGTCGGCGTTCGTCCCTTGCGCCACACAGAACAAAGACGCGGTGCAGCTGACTCTAGAACAAATCGACGTGATCAAACGCCTTGTGGAAAAGTACCCGCACGATCTGCAGTTCGCCACATCGGTCACAGGTACCAACAAATTTAATATTCTATAGAAAGAAAGAAAGAAAAAGCATTTATTTGGCAAATGGCACACAAACAAAGATTATGAAAAATAAAGATACTTACATAAATACATAATAAAAAAATAATTAAAATATAACAAAATAATGAACATACAATACGAAACAAATGCAATAAGTTTTTTGATATAAAGAAAATTAAATATACAAAAAAAACATAAATACATAGTAATATTGTAGTGCGTATGCACATGCCAAAAGGGCCTCCACCTCAGCATTCCTGCCCAACGCTGATTTTCAGGTGGCACCCTGACTACTATAACTTCCTAAGTGATCATAGCTAATATAACACTATCTATCTGTATTAGATTTTCAAGCATAGCAACCAATAAAGCCCACTACAAACTTCTTTATCCCCGATTATGAAAAATCTAAATCATTTGTTCATACAAAAGTAGTCTCTAAACATCGGATATAAGTTATATAATGGATTAACTGGAGAGCGGTCACCGGTGATCGCTTGGGGGCTGGGCAGTTTGTATATCGCCAACTGTACAGAGACACTGAGACAATAGTACAGAGACAACGCTACTCTTTATCTTCCATCGCTCTCATAATTCAATGATACCAAATCGTGATATAAAATATAGAAAACATCATTAAAACTGTACCGCAATGTACTTCTAAGATTATGTACAGATTATTAATTTATTAGTAAAATCGTATATTCAGTTGCTGCAATATTGCCATCACTGAGTTATTCGGTGTAAACAAAAACAAATAGCGGAATTACACAGGCAACACGCTACACACATGTTTTTTTTTTAAATCCTAATGAAATATTTTGTGTGTGCGTCGCCGCTCTGCTCAATTCGTAGAATTCATTTACATGTTCATAGCTGTCAACATGTTTGTATAAATTCTGCCAGTTCTACTATTTTTTTTTTACTATTTTGTAACAGAAATTAAATTATACTGTATACCTGGTCCATTTAATCCATTTGAAAAATGTACATACATGAAAAAAAATACAAAAACGTCAAATTTGCAATTTTACTTTGTTTGATTGTTTTTTTCGACAACGCCTGTATTGAATAGAAGAATGATTGGAAAAGTTTTTGAAACTTCAAATAGCTGAAAATAATGATGCATTTTACGCGATAAAGTGTAAAAATGAGAAGAAATGCTCAAACTCTAAAATTCTATAGATCTCAAGTTTTTATAATAGAAGTTGTCGCAGTTTCTTATCAATGAGAATAGATTCGTCACAACATCAATGGTCTTTAATCAAAGTTTTGTTACCACATAATAAGACGTGTCAAAGGTCATTCATGCATCGATGTCACAACCGAGTATGAGCCGACAGTGGAAAATATCAGTGAAAACTTTTCTTTCAAACTGTGTGTGCACGATGGATTCGGTATAGAAGACGAGAAATCTAGACAAAATTGAGGTCAGATATTGCCAAAATATTAAAACTCATTTACGCTTGATAACATTAAATACTTAATATTTTCAACTGAGTCATGTCTATTGAAATTTGAAAAAAAAAGAAATATAAAATCTAGTCTACAGTTAATTGGTAACAAGATTATTGAAAGCCTCTTATAGAAGCGGCGACAAGAGCATTTTCATTAATGGTTCCTCGGCGCGGCAACGCGGCGAGACCCGCTGCCGATGTAGTACAATCTCTATTAAGCTGTTGTAATAAGTGCTACAAAAAAGAAGCAAAGACTAAGATAAAATAAGCATTTAAATCACTAACAGCAACAAGTGAAGGTACGTGCTTAATATAGCCGTATTACGGGAAAGAAAATGTTCTGAAAAAATCTGCTTCAATATTCTGAATAGTTAAGTTGTGTGCAAAAATCTTTGGCTTTTGGTCTCATTGTAACTGTTTATTTTAGGTTCTAATAAGCTCTGATCTACTGGAATTATACTCGTTATGGGCCGATTTATCAATCAGTTAATTCTTAACTGTAGAATAAAATTGACATTGTTTTAGTATGGAAGATTTTTCAAATGTTCAAAGTTATTACTCAGTTAAAATTTATATGGCGTTGTAAAAGTTGGCCCTAAGTACAGTAAGCATTAAACTTAAGAAAACTCTATACATACATATGTATGTATATCTACTCACTGTCTCCCAATCGCTAACGTCGGATGATGGCATATTAATTCAAAGAACGCATTTCTAGCGAAAAACAAAAAGGCGAAAGAGATGAAGATAGCAATGCCTTAGAACCACTAACAAGATCCTTTTGCCACCTTTCAGTTACGGAAACGCAAAAAAGAGAAATACAGCAAGAAACATCTTTCAGAAATGAAATGAAAATATTAAAATGTAAACTGTATAAAAGAAAAACGGTTTTTGTTTTAAACGATACCCCGAGATGTCGTAGTACGCGTACTACGCCGTTTCGGAGCGACTAAACTAATTTGTAACTTTAAAACCGACTCGCGGCGGATATAGCCGGATTTGTCGTGCACCGTTCTTGTAATTTATAGTTTTTGTTTTTCTTCGTATTATTTTTCTCTTTCAGCGTTTTGATTTATTCGTATTCCGTAATTGAGTTTGCAAGATATCTTATTATTGTAAGCGTTGTAGGAAACTTGTTTGTTTCGTAATATTTACGATCGTCGGCGTCGTGTTCGTGTTTACAGAATGAATGTTTGTAATGAAATATGGTAGGATTTCTATTTTAGTCGAGACTGAAGTTGCTTCGATTGTTTTACGTTCAAATCTTTAAACTCAAACTAATCTACATAAAAATCATCATAAAATATTGCCAAAGTTAGTTATGTTCCCTTTCTAAGTAGAAGTAGAAAAGACAATAGACTTCTTGGTACTTGGTACTTTTCTAACAATGGCGGCTGCCCCGCGCACCGTCGCCATAAAATATTCATCCCAACTTTCGTGGCGCATTCACAAACGTCATTAATTCATTTAACCTCCCCTTCACATGAATGTAATATTCATACAAAAATAGAAGGACTTAAAGTTTGCAAGTCCATCGGCGAGATTAGCTCTCTGTACATTGAAGTCAAACTTTGAACGCAAGTTTCAGTTTTCAGACTTGAAATTAGTTTTTTGAATAAATATAATATTAATATCTACTCCGTTCATTCGCAAACAAAGGAAAGATACTCTAAGTTTCGATTTATTAGATACACTCGAAACTTTTGCGTTGGCGAATATTATTTTAAATATTCAAAATGGATTAACCACCGGTATAAAAATTACTATTTTATTATTATATCCTCCAAAATACATTCACGTCTAAATTGAATGTATTTCAAAGAGGTGCAGGGATTGATACTAACATTTATTAAAAAATCCCAAAATAACTATTGCAATAGACAATTCAACCAGGAAACGCCTGTAAAATATAAGAAGACTTGGCAGAAGTTGTAATATGATAATTATATATTACAAAAGAAATGATATTATACGAGTTGTACATAATATTTAGAAAGAGAAACTGTCATCTTAGAATCATGCTAGCCGTAAGATGGTCACACAATACCTGCAGCTCAGCTTACGTCGCTAGGACAGACAGGGATTACACAGCTAACACATGTAGACAAGGCATTGTTAGCCAGCCCCATGCAGAATTTGGAACTTGAAACGAGATGGCAACAGGATGCATGAGGTCCATGATTTATTGCATTCACTTAAAACTTTGATTATAATGACAGTGTCGTTGTTTCATGGTGAGATAGCAGAGGTTAGTGTTGCTGAATCGAAAAAAGTATTATTAAGGTGTTTTAATTTTCAAGATTATGATTAGTGTGGTACGGCTTTTGGCATATTGCAACATTAGTCCCTAAACAGAACTGGGTGAAAATATAGATGTAAAAATATGTTTTTACAGATATAAATCTTCGATGCATAATATGTTCAACATATTTTTTTCGGTTCATTACACTACAAATATTTATTTCCTCATCAGATATCCTGGAGGCTCACAGCGCTCGTCCTCGCAAGATCGCTTCGCTCATCGGCATTGAGGGAGGTCACTCTATCGCCAACTCATTGGGAGTACTCCGATCCTACTACCAGTTGGGAGTGCGGTACATGACCCTCACCCACACTTGCAATACCCCATGGTAAGTTGAATTTAGCAACACAAACAACCAACACCGAATTCATTCGCAATATACAAGTTTTATCTCCGTATTTCTGCCCCCTTGTGTAAACCAGTACAAAAGATTTACAATCACGAATATTTTTTTCGTGTCTCCACAAAAAGTTCGAAATAAATTATTCATGTCCAGCCCTCGACTCCCGTTTGTAGCAATGCAAAGTTTGCAACTAAAACTGCAATTAATTGTCCCCGAAATGGCGTATCGGAGATCTCGTATAGCGCTTCGTATTGTGGCGTAGTGTGGCGTAGCTTCTCCTGTAAACATTTCGATTCTGTTTGCTTGCAATTCCGCGCAATTAGTCTCAAAGTAATACAATCAATGTTTGCAGTATTTAACTAATCCTCTTTTGACATAATGTTGACTTAAAAAGTTAACGAACAAACCTTTCATATAAGTTCGTTTTTATCTTTGTATTTATATAAAACCAAAATGTACTTCAACCAATAAATGATAAAACAAAATTAAAAATGTAACTTAAACATAAATAATTTCAATTCTGTGCTCTTTGATATTCCTTCGAGTTTTAATTTCTTGGAGGTAAAACTTCCATTTCGTGATTAATATAGACATTTCTGGTCCAGATGAGGTTTCATCTGGACCAGAAATGTTAAATTTCAATTATGTTACGAAGAAATAATTAAATATCTATTTTGCTTTAGGTTTTGAAACGATATTTAGGAACATCTTCACTTGAAGCAAACAAAATTTCATATTTACGAAAAAAAAATGTTCATTTGGAAATTAAATTAGTAGCTTTTTATATTACATTTTACGTAATACAGAGATACGGTGCGCTCCTTAAAAGTCAATTACAAAAATATCCGTATTCGCGTAAACATTTTTGACGTCAGCCGCGTTGTTTCTCATTTCCTACACAAAACCCGGCAAATGGGAAATTGCCGAAAATTCAATTCTCTCACAACAAAAGAAAGCAGACAATTATTAAAACTGAACATTGTAAAGAATTCACTTTTAACTTAACGAAGTTGATATCTTGCTTCAAGTGGTGCCGACGAGCTCACCTGTTTGTTTTTGAGATTACGTCACAAGGCGGACGAAATAAGACTTTGTTCATAATTACGTTGGATATCAAGTTAGATCGTGATGAACGATAAACCATTCTCAGAAGGTTTGTGTTCTTCTTTTTAAAAGACTCGCCTTAACTTAAAATGTTTTTGAAAATGGCGCGCGGAATTTTACAACAGGCGACTGTTGACACTAAATTAATCTCAAAATGAGAGAGATGAAATTCCAGTTTGGTGATACTCAGTGAATATTCAAAAGGTACATATTAAGCTTTGAAGCCTTTAGCCGATTTTAAAAAAACAAACCTAAGATTAGAATGACTTTGTACTATGTACCTTTTTAACACACACACACCAATAAAGATTGTGTTATTGTGTTTTGGTAGCTATTAAAGCCCGCTGTGATATTGATGTCACCAAGAAACTTGGTAATATTTATGTACAGATAAAAATAACAGTAGTTCAGTGACGGACAACACAATACATTTCAACTTACAACGTCAAGTATAGCACAAAAATTTCAGTTAAGTGCTCAAAAATACTTGTAATTTTGTATATTACCCGATTTAAGTATAACTGATGCCAGTCGGTAGTTCTATATGCAATACATAAAGTACAAATGTAAGTATACCTACATCACACATATAGACGGACGCCGCGCTTTTAAAAATGAACCAATGTTTAAAAAGTTGAGGCGATAAAGTAAGTAGTTATGTCCGCGTTAAACTCAGAAGCATGTTGAGTGTCAATCAAAGGCATTAAGGCAGGCCCCGACCCCTCGCAATTCACTATCCTTAAAGAATTATCCCTTCTACAGGAATATCCTTTTATCCGCGCTTTCGTCCGACACTTTGTTAAAAAGACTCACTCGTGTTGTGGCTTGCTCTCCGAGCTCCGATATTTTATACTTTTTCAACTGTTGTCCCATTTTACCAAACGTTCGTTAAATCTATTTTTCTTTCCTTTCTCTTTGAAATTGCCCCGAATAAAGGGTTCGCTTTTCACAGATAAGGAAAACCAGGTAAAACCAATAAGATTTATTCTCCGTTTTATCTATTTATATAGTAAGTTTGTGAAATCCGATGCATTCGCGTTTTATTCTTTGGTTAAATTAAACGCGGAGCAGGCGCAACTAAATCAGCCATTTCAGTCTCGCCGTTTAATATTTCCTGCAAAACATCCTGCTAATTTAGGCCAACCTCCTTCGTTCCCCTTTATTTCTTAAAACATGTAAATGTATAAGTAGATACAATACGTATTTCCCCGCCGACTCCCCTTCTTTTCCTTTTGACAAATGAGGTGTTATTCCATTCATAGGAAAAAGGTACGATATTACAATATTACTTGTGCGTGGCTTTTGTGTACAGGAGGACGGATTGAGGAATATATCTCCGCGTCCTCCGCCCGCCATCGATACTTGTTGCATTGACAGTTTCTGTGTCGGAGGCGTCGACATGTCTCCGGTAAATTGTACATTGGTTTTATTTTTCTCAACGCTTACTTACTAACTCACTAGTAATAATAACGAAATTTCATCCAGGAAAAATATAACCTAACTCAAACAAAATCTGAACAATTTTACTAAGTTTGTTTTATTTATGGGTCCAGCAGTTAAATTAACTTTCCAAAGCGAACTTGATCACTATAGTTATCTAGTTTTAGTCATCATATTGGCTAACATTACTAAATATCCCTAATTATAGGAGGAGTTGGAACAACCTGACAGTAAATAATGTAAATCTGAGTTGAGCGTGGTTTCTAATTTCGCTCGCTAATCTCCTTGAGCGAAAGGAAAATGATATCAATCAGCTTCGCCTACACGAACGACATAAAATCAATAACCAAATACTAGAAGGTCGCAGTCAGTCGAAGATTTTGTTATCTTACATTTTCATGGTGGCTTAAAATTTTAGGATATAACGTAAAGACAATTTAAAATTTACACGATGTTTAGTACAAGGTACCTATCGACCTAGTGCTATTTTCCTTCTAATGCAGGCCACAGACCTTACGAAAATCGTATAGTTAAACAAAACTCCAGCAGGTTGTACCTATTTTCTTGTATAGTTTCAGTTAAAAATAGTTTTAACTGAAACTATACAAGAAAAGTTGAAATGTATAGACATTTCAACTGTACATGTTTCATATCGATTATCGTAAGGTGTGTGCCGGTCATTTTTCATATCGATAATAGTACCTGTAATTAGGTATAGGTAGATACAAAAAAATATTTTGTGCAGACGTGGTACAAATCCAAGGTCCCAAACATTCAACCAATAAGCTCACTAGGGCACTTACTATCCTGGATATTGTTAGACTTAATAATTACACCGCGAGATGGCACTGTAAATTGTTAATTGAAACTTGAAAGCAATATATCATCGCGTTAAACTCAATAAAATTTGAATAAGGAATATACACGTACTGATATTTTTTAATCCATTAATAGTTATTTCAAACATGTAACGGATTCATTGGAAACTGTGTATGAAATCCTGAAAGCGCACTCTTTCATTAAAATGTGAAGAGGAAACGTAAAAAGGCAAAGCAAAAATAAAATAAATAAATAAAGTGCTGAAATAAAAATTAAAAGCCAAACATAAACCTGAATACGTTTTCGATAAAATCTGTTGAAATTATAAGATGAAAATGTACAGTATAGATACGTAATGAATTAAAAAATCAGATATTTTAATTTGGTTATGAAAATATCTCATATTAAGTAATTGTTTATTGTGTACATGATCTGATATTTAATTTGCACACCTTCTGGCGTCCACTACATTTCATTTTAAAATATTTACTTTTCACCATTAAAAGCGGTCAAAATGTAATGCCAGGGTTTTTTTAAGTAATGATTTTATGTGTGAATTGCTAAACGTCTGAAAAGGCACAACAATGAAATTGTTATGCATTATAAGCTTGATTAAGCTAAGAATATTATCTCAATGTATTGCCAGCATAAAGACATTATTGTAGACTTCGTGCAACGACGACCAACGAATACAAACACTAAACAGCGAAGTAAAGGCTCGATAAAAACAGTAAATAGTGTACCGTATGGAAAACTAACTGTTTAATGGATCCGCTGTATTCATATAGCCAGGTAATTGGTTCGTAGCTGCGATATTTTAACATGGCTGAAAAAAGGTATCGTTCAGGTGAAACTGTGACAAAAAAAGTGAAGCAATCATTGCGCTTCGGTGACGGCACGGCGGCACTGCGCGTGACACGGCGCGTGACATGCTACGTCGCACGCCACGCCATTCAATTAGACCTGTAACGGTTTCGATGCACCATGACCCACGAAACTTATTTATAAAGCTGCATTGATAGACTAAACAACACTGCTGAGTAGAAAAGGGGTATTACTGTGTCAGACCAGACCTATCAAATGTAATTTTTGATTTAGTGCTCCGTACTCGCAGTTAGCATCACTTGAATATCCAAAACTATGTTATTTTCTGTTCTAAATAGTTCACGTTGTTAAAATTCTGTATCAATATAGTTGCTTCAAATTAAATGTTGTATAAGAATTTTAATAAGTCTTGCAAACTTTATTAAATGTATGTGTTATTGGATGTTCTATCAACATGAGGTGTATCCGAGCCAGTGTTGTCCCCTGTACAATATGGCAACTAGCAATTAATCCGCAGCCCGGGCCGAGCTCTCAGCTGCGATACTTTTTAGATTTATTAAACAACTCTTTATGAAGCCACTGTGTATTTCAGATAGAAATACTTTCCACGTTTCAAAGAAATTCTCTTTAATACTAGCTAGTATTGGTTTTAGTTTTATTAACTGATCATCATAACATGTTTGCTTTTCATTAGTTTTTATGAGTAATTTAATAATAATCAAAAGCCGTAGGGAACCGACTACTTGGAATATACAAAGCTAAGTTTTTTATTAACAAAGAATCAAAATATTTCTCAA